AAAATCTGATTTGTGAATTTTCAAATTTGTTTTTGAATTTTTGAAATGGGCGAAACTAAATAGCTGATTGTGTATTGTTCCCACTTCAATATTGCCTATTACCCATGTATAAGCCCAATTAAAAGCCCATTTGGTGGTGTAACTCATAAACAGGGAGAAGTGCATGGAGACCGTTCTGGTTAGGGGCCAGAACCAGTGAAAGGGACAAACGGCAATTGGCTTTCGGCTTGGGTGTTGATTGCACTAAAAAATTAGGAATATTTATGGAGGATTGAGAGGAAAAGATAGCAGCGTTCGTCCCCCGCTATCCATTTTTTCTTGTCTTCCAGTAATTCCAACAAGGATGTAACTTCATCACCGAATTTAGCGGGTAATAACAGAATTTACGGTCAATAATATGCTTCGAATTCAAATGGAAATAATGGGCATTTTTGTTCATTTTGCAGCACTTAATGTTATTTTTTCATTTGATTTTGCTCATGTGGATGATTAAATTTTAGCATTTAGGTGACCAGCAGTGTTTTTTACGTGCAGTGCCAGATTCTCTCCATCACCAGGCAGAATCCTTGCTGCCAAACTGCTACCCAAATCTCGTGTCACTCCCAGTTTCCTTGTAAGTAACTTCAATTCTTTCTGTGATCTTACCGGTTCCGAGGCTCGGATTATTTATATATATTTTCTTTAAACGTCTATCGTTTCTACCGAATAGGTATTTGATCTTGATAACGATTATTTTTTATTTTTGGGGATAATTTGTTATAGTTCCGAGGTTTCAAGACATTAAAACTAGTGAAAGAACTTTTGATTGTTTTAGTGACACAGACAATACTAAAAGTTTTCGTTTGAAATGTTTTATGCATCTGATTGTTGAAGTTAAACTGCAAAATTGATTTGTTTTCTAAATATTTCCTGTGCTCGCAATTTAATGTTAATCTTCTGTGCTTTTATTGATTTTACAGAGAGGAGACAAGATGGAAGTAGTAAAGGAGTTGAGGGAGTGTTTGCATTTTATATTCACAGCACAATTCTGGAGAATGGCAGTTCTGTGGACAGCCGCTTTGGTTTTTTCCCATTTGAAATTGTTTTCCCCAACATTTTTACTGCCGAAATCCAAACACTACTCTCATCGTTCTTTAAAAGACTGTATTTCTGCCTCAGCACCTGTAATGAGGCCCATCTGCATAATCACCGGGGTAGATTAACTGTCAACACTCCATATCTTTACAAATCACTTTGTAGCAATGCTAATCCTTTTTTTTTTTAATTTATATATTAAATTTTGGTCCTATATGCCTGTGTTGATATTTGTATTTTTTTGGGCTTGCTGATTGTAGGCTACCTCTGGTTTGGGTGCTGCAGCTGCTTATGCTCTTTCAAAGGAAGGCTTTTACATTGTTCTTGGTACTCCATCTATCAGTTTCTCCCCTACAAAAAGTATTTTCTTAGATCGATATTGATGGTTATGAATCACATGTTAAGTAAATTTGCCTTAGTGTGATTGCTCATTCTCTTGCTATATTAATTGACTAAGTAAAAATGAAAGCTCAGGCCTGAATGGGGGAAGAACATTTTAAAGCATAGAATTTTAACTTTATTGTTATTATTTCCTTAAATAATTGAATAGTAACATTAGTAACTTTAGAACGAAATATTTCTTTGGGTGGGGGGGATCATGATATTGTTATGGAGAATACCGGAGGTAATCGTCAAATTAAATTCCTTCTCAATAAGAAAATTGTTATTTTTTCAGGAACAAACTTCATCAATTCTTGCTTAAAAATCTAATCACTAGAATGAGATTAGTAGCTTTTGGCAAAACTCGAGCTAATCTTTGTTAATATTCATTTTGATTGTGCAGCTGGAAGATCCTCTGAACTGCTATCAAAGGTGTGGACCTGTTGTTTTCCATGACTATTATACCTTCTATTTTATTGTTCTACTTATTTTTCCCCTTTTCTAACTTTCAGGTTACATCTGATATCAAGAGAAGAAACTATGATGCTTGCCTGAAAGCTTTTCAGGTTGATATAACTTCCTTTGAGTCAATCCTGAAGTTCAAATGCTCACTTCAGCAGTGGCTATTGGATTCAAATATGCATTCTTCTATTCAACTCCTGATAAATAATGCTGGGATCCTGGCAACATCCTGCAGACTCACTTCCGAAGGCTACGATCAGTAATTACTTCCAAAACATGTACCCATTATGATAATTATGAAAGTATACTGCAGTATAATGTTTTTGTCTATGCTACTTATTAAGACACTACAACACGTACAACATCACGGGAAGAAGATTGATATTTGCTGAAGTGGGCAGAACTAGATGGCTGAAATCAGTTCTTTTAAAGCTTAATAACAACCTCGGAAAATCTAACACTGTGGATTTGTAGTATGTATCTGTGTTTGTATACCTGTTTCTTCCTGGTTTCAAGCTATAGAAAAGAACTATCAATACTATGATTATAGAATTAGGGCGGTTACATCTAAAAAAAATTCTTTCTGGTTGATGAATGTCTTTCGAGCACAACACCAGATTCTCCCGAATAGAATGGCAAAAATGATAAATAAGTTCTTTTTTAGTCTGCACCTTAAAGTGACTCAATAGGACAGACTCACCTATTTCCTAATTTTTGTCATGTCTTGCTTTGTTATTCTCTTTTTGGATATATAAGATCGTTGTAGAATACGTTTTTTGTTTCCCTATTCTAATTTTATGAATAAAAACTTGATCTGCATTCTATTATACATGCGTATTCTGGAGGATTACGAGATGCTTATTGAGGTAAATTTATTTTCAGGATGATCACAACTAATTATATTGGTGCATTTTGTCTTACCAAAGTCCTGCTTCCTTTACTGGAAAATAGCATTGCCCCCTCTCGTGTGGTTAATGTCACATCCTTTACACATTGGAGTGGTAAGGTTTCAGTAAATGTAACTCTCTCTCGTATAAAATAGGTTGTCTGTCGAATGTCGTTTGGATTCCACCCAGTACTTGCTAAATTGAGTTATAATGTTAATAGAAGTTTTTCCCAAGCGGATCCTATCCGAGGAGTTCCTGGAAGAGTATCTGATAAAAAAAACTGTTCCTTTCTTTCTTGTTCTTTTCTGCTTCAGTACGGTCCATGCAGGTGGACAGAGGAACTATGAAGTGTTTTTCAAAATCGAAGTACTACCCCTTTGCTCATATATACGAGTATTCTAAATGTAAGTGCATTATCTTATATAAGTCATTATTTTTTCTTCTGGTTAACTACTAATATATGCCATCAATGGGTGACAGTATGCCTTTTGCTGTTTTCGTATGAGCTACATCGACAAGTTGGCCACACGGAGAAATCTCATAAACTATCTGTAGTGTGAGTGTTTTTCTACTTTACTTCAGATCTATTCATAATCATCTGCTACGTTACAGGATTATTCAAGTTTGACAGTTGTGAGTGTTGCAAGTAGTGGTGTCAATGGGCCGAGCCGAGCCGGCTCGGCCCATTGTCGCACGAGCTCGGCTCGTGCTCGCACGAGCCTTTTGGGCGAGCTCACCCAAAGCGAGCGGCTCGCCCATGCATTGCACGGCCTAAAACT